CTGCAGTCTCAACAGTGTCTTGTTGGTTGAATAATACATCCAGTTTTGCCCCTGTGCATGTGTTATATGTATTTTATTTTGCTACCCCATTAATACTGTGTACACATTGAGGCTTCATGCTCCTATCTGTTCAGGCTGTTGTGGAGTACATGAAGATCATGTTCACTGCAGATCTGTCTGCTCTCCCAATATTCCACACTCCCAGTGTTTCCTTTGCCTCTGGGGTCACTCCCAATAGCTAAGTCATGAGAAATGTACACAGCGTGTGGGGACCCTGGTCAGTCAGACGCTAGAGTATTTTTCCTCTAGATGACATTGCAACACACTTCAGTAGGTTTCTGCTGCTTTGATTGCTTGTTTGGTTTATTTGAGGCTGTAACATCACTTTATTGCAGAAAACGGAATGATTTTGGCCAAAGGAATAGGTTTAGCTGGGTACTTTTTGAATGGCTACGAGGAAGCAGATGTGATTTTGGATTTACGTACATTGTGTCGTGCCCTTTTCATTTGACCTTGCAATATACGGAAGTGGGGGATTGATGAGCTCTCAAGTGCATCAGGATCCTAGATGTGAGTCCTGCTGGATTAGAAATTTAAAACTTGAGGACAGGGTAGAGAAAGCCAATATTTAGTTATAAAGGAAACAAGAAAATACAGACAGTTTTGTGTAGATTTTGCAGCGAGAGCTGGCTCTGTCTCAGTTTCAGCGAAGACTCTCTCCCTCTAGCCAAAGGGAATGTAGGATGTGACAGGGAGGGTCTGATTGGGGAGGAATTCAATGCAGCTATCAACAGCGGGCTTCTATGTAAATACTGTAACACCTCTGAACCGAGGAACAGCTGAGATAACACTGTAAACTAATCTCTAGTGCCGGAGAAGCTGGCCAATCCCTCACATTATATGGTTTCTGTAGAAAAGGTGTCCTAGGGAAAAAAAGAAGCAGATTTCAATTACATATGGCAACTTACCATGGAGTAAAGTATGCTGACTTTTAAAAATTGAAAGCAGCATATGGTAAAGTATTTTTTCTTTGAAACGGTACTCTATGCCAGGGTGCATATGCCTATACATCCTTGCATATATACGAATTCTTATATAAATAGGCATTGCTATCACCAAAATATTTTCAACTTTGTTACCTGTGCCTTTAGAGATTTCTCTAGATTTAGAGAAATATTTACTCACTTGTGGTCCTTATCCCACCAGTATTGATTTTGGTTGATTTTTCATCAATACCAGGAAAACTAAAAGCCAAAGTCTGTCCAGAGCAGAGGCACTGAAGCACAGTCTTTCCCTGCTTTGACCTTTTGAGGTCACTGTATTTCACAGTCCTATGCCTTCCTTTCTTGGGTAGCTGAGAAAAAAAAGTAATATATACATATGTATATATACACAGATACATACATGCCTATATAATATATATATGCACATATATGAAATATACATACACACACCTTTATACACAAATAGTGTCTCACCTGAAACAGGTTATCTCTCCTCAAGGCACTTAAAGAAAAGCAGGAGCTATCAATGGCCAAGAAGTTTGTTGCTATATCTGCTTCAGAGTTGTGCTCATAATTGGGCACAACCCCAAGATAACCCGGGGCTGGGGTGGAGCTAACCACCTCATTAATTGTGCTGGAAACAAGGAAACTGATTCCACTATCTCGGATTTCAGAAGAAATTGAAGTCTAAGCATCTCTGACGCCCCCTTCGGATACAGTTTAGAAATGAGTAGTCGGCAATTTCCAGTTCTCACACCCTTTGTCAGAGCCAAACCACAGTGCACAGATAGCTCTGACACCAA